AATAACTTTAAAAGATATAATCTTTATTAAGAACATATATCTGCTATCTGTCTTTCTATATCTATTACATTTTTATTAATTTAATGTGAAGTCATTAATTTAATGTTATATAAATAAGTTACACTGTGATATTTATCAATTTATCTCATTATAAAGGCGTTATAAAGCTGACTACAATGTAGCATATTTGTATTTCGTTTACTACATAAAAACTACACAGTACAAGTACACAGAACTGCATAAAAAGTACACAGTATAAGTACACAAAACTACATAAAAACACAGTATAAGTACACAGAATCGTATCTGGAAATATTGAAAATGCTCTTTATCATATCAATACGTTTTAATTACAATAATTAATTAAAATTAATTATTTAAAAAGTTTAATTGTAAAAATTGTGCCAATGAGTCCCGGTAACGTTTAATAACACTGTTCAACATCATTTTGCAACATGAGATTGTTACAATCTTCCATATTGTATTTCGTTAATTTTATATTTTGATTTGGTACGATTTAATTATATTATGTAAGTACAAAAATACTTTTTCCTTCTATAAAATGCAATACTAAGGTGGAATAAAATGTCTTATCTATGTATTACATACATACATAAAAAGTCATACAAAAAAAAATAAAATTAATTTGAAAGCTAAAAGTTGATATTTCGCGTAGCAGTAACGAAATTTAGAGAAAAAATTCGCTGCTAGTGCTACAGCACTATTTTTACGCTATATTTTTTGAAAATTGTTACGTGATAGCTAAATTTGGACGACGAATTTATGAGCAAGACAAAAATACATTGAAAATGATTATTTACACTCGTGATGCAACAAGAGATCAAATTTTGTCACACAGTGTAATTAAACATACAGTTGCATGATTATTTATAAACTTGATATTTGTAATATTAGTTATTTTATAGTAGTAATGTGTAAAATAATGTGTAGATATAACATATATGGGAAAATTTCTAAAAATGTCTAAACTAAGATTAACAAGAATGAAAGCGGAACATATAGTTGTGTATGTGACAAAGAAACTGTTTCCAAGTTAGAAGCTAGTTTGACCTATCCCACGCAACTATTTACTTAAAGCGTTAAAGGGGCAACTCTATTCGCAGTAACGTCCGAAATTATAAGGTCTTGTTCATAGATGTTGATACGCTTAATTAATTTTATTATATTGACTTTACTTATATATAATTGATGAATGGTTCTAATTAAATTTTTGTGTTTTTTTATTGCTACCTTAAACAATAAGATAAATTATTATGTTTAATAAAACTATTAAATTTTGTGGACGTATATTTTGTATAAGAGTACTCATTGTCAGTAGTCGCTTAATCGCAAGTTTAAAGTATATAATATTTAAAACAGTAAATAATTTACAATAAAATATATCTAATTTAATTATTTGTAGGTATATAGGAATCTATGCAATCAAAGGAATAATATTGTTATATCAATCTGTTTTTATTAGGGATATTTTACATTCTTTCTTTTCTTTATAAATGAGCTAACTTATTAAGAAATAAATTAAAAAATTTTTATTACAATAAAAATTTGATTTATATTATTTGCAATATAAAAGAAGTGATATTAACTTTGCAGAAAAATTTGTGCGTAATATGAAGCCTCTTCTGTTGTATGATAAAGCAGAAGCGGCTCGAGCAATGGTTAGAGCGTTTTTATATAGCTTAACGGGGAATTAGCCTAGCCGTGAGTTATTTTTTTTTGATCGGAATAGAGTGTTACGTCACGGTCCCTGCCAATGCATATATCTTTATTTTGCTCGAGCATTATCATTTCGAGTCCTCTTTGACACGGTGTCTGTCGCGTTCCCGCTACTGTTATTTGTGCACTTTTGTACGAAATGTGTATAAAAATTATTTGATGATATTTTAGGAATAGATTATTTTAATCTGCCATTTTCTCTGATAAAAGCTCAAATAATATCATTTAACATTTTTTAATATTAAATAATTTTTCAATTGAGATCCTTAAATGAGACTTATTTGATTTTCGATAAGAAAACGATATTTTTTTTATGTATTTATCTTTTGGATCTTAATTTGTTAAACTCTATATTTTTTTAATTATTTACAAATTAAAAAATATTTGTATGTTTATGCAGAAATCAAGGATTACTTCAAAGTTAGTTGAAGAATTTATCTCCTAAAATATCAACCGATGATTTTGGCACATTGTGTAGTTTTCTATATCTGTACAAAGTCATGTGCACTATATATATTGTGTAAAAAATAGGAAGCTCCTGAAACGCTGTTATACATGCTAGTAGACGTAGACGTGTATATATGACGCACTATTTGCGTATTCACGGATGAGCTTTGCGCGTTCTCTTTCGCCGTTTATTATACGTCCAATATAGCATAAAACGTTAAACTTTTTTATATTGCGATTTTTTAACTACAATGAAGTATTGTAAAGTTCCATTGTTGGAGTTACTATAAAAGAATTAAATGTTTAATTAAATAAATGTCACAGTCAGTTACAAAGTACTACATTAGTATATTATCAATATTAAAAGTATTTAATTAACATGTTATGCGTCTCTGTTACGCTCGTATGTGTTGTAGATTATTTATCTCCGTTTTTCTTACCGTATTGCGTATAAATACGTAACGTAAATTATTTCCATTAAAACAAATACGATACGAATACGATATAGCTTGTTTTACGCAATAAGGAGTTGTACAAAAAGTGTAATCAATAATTTTTTATTTAGCATTTATTATTTTCTGTTACTTCTTTAGTTTTTCTGTTTTTCTGTGTAGCACATTATTTACATTATATATTTACATTTGATGCATTATAAACTAAAAAATTGCATCTTGATGGATCTCAAAATTAAATTCATGTTGAAATTAAGATAAAATAAACGACATCTATAAGAAAAAATGGGATAATGAACAAGATAATGAATTTGGATAAGATAATATACGTTATTGTGACGCTATTGTGATACCGATATGTTTGCCACCTTCGGAGCTTGTAGTCGCTTCAAGGTGATTTTTTCCTGTATTTTTTTTTCGTATGCCGGAAATTCTCCTGAGTGAACTCGGAAAGGACCGGTAGCATGTTGTCATAGCTCTCTTCTCTGCGCTCTTTAACGACAGTATTGTGCCAAGTAACTTTGATAGCGTGACCCACGTGAGAAAGGCTTTTGTAAATATCTTTCCCGCCTCCTGTAGTAACCTTCAGATTTTCTGCAAAATTCGCAGTTTTCTTTATTAATGTTATCAAAAATGTATTATACATACTTAATGACTTTATCTATTATTATATAAAGTAATATTTAAAAAGTTGACATGAGAAATTCAATTTTTATACAAAAGAATATTATGATTAGATTATTATTTTATTCTCTAACTGGTAGACTCATTTTCAAATTATTTTAATTAGTTTTATTATTATAATGCACCTTTTGCAACTCGTGTCAAGTTTTTTAATCTTTACAATATAATTTATTAAGAAACTTTCCTGAGATTTGTGAGGATTAAACCTCAAGTAGAACACAAAAAGTCATAATATCATAAGGACATAGTCATTTATAAGTTATTGTCACTTACTGGCAAATAAAATGAAGACGTCATATAATATTATGAATATGTGTTCTGCCTGGGACAGGATTGAAATACTATTACTTACTTTTTTGCATGCCTTTTAACTTTATGTATTACATTTATTATCTATGTATATGTTGAATATTTTTATAAAATTTAAAAGGATAATAGATGATATTTTTTCCTGTTTATGAAGCGTAAAATATAATATCAATATTTTTACGGATTTTAATTAATGTACAATGTATTGTAAGAATTGCATCGAGCTTTAGAATTTCCTGACAAACTTTAGTAATTTATTTTATTTATTGTTTTATGTATTTTTCTTTTTAAGCAAGATTATTCAACAAAATTAATTTCTTGCAAAATTAAAATTTGCAAAAATTTTCTAATATTTAATATTAAATGAAGTTTAAAATAAACAGAAAGATAAAGTTTTGTTATTCTTTAAAACTTCTTTAGTTTATATTAAATTAATTTTGTTAAGATAAAAATTTAATTTAAGATGTATCATTAGAAAGTTTACAAATTTATAATGATAAATTACAAATTAACAAAAAACTAATAAGTATTTATAGTTTTACAAATTTATGAATTCTGAAAAGAAATAATATCTAATTAATCTCTCCAGAGATTGAAAATAATTTTCAAATTTGTTAGATAATATATGCACGTATGAAACTTTTGATACAAAAGTTGTAGAATGCTGTATATATTCTTATTATACTAGTTTACACATATGTATGCAACTGAGGAAAACATGGTGTTTTTAAAAATGTGATGTTTTCAATTTTTTATTAAATATATTTCATTTTTAATAAAATATACTTTATTATTATTGAAATATAAAACTTTTTAAATTTACGATTGCTTTTTGTTCTCCTATAATACTTTTACAATTTTCTTATTTTTAAATTTATAGATTTTTTTTAAAGATTTAATTGCGTTGACTGCTTCGGTTAATTAGTTTTTTGATCAATATATAATTATTCTTCTCGTTACAAACTACAACTGTAAATTTTGAGTTATGTTATATATGTCTCTAAATTACGTTTTTAATTATAATATAAACGGAAAAAACAGATTAATTATAATCAAAAGTTTAATGCAATTAAATCTAATGTATGCTAATTATTTTTCTGCAGCTTATTAAATTCTGCGTCGTAGCATACTGAGCCAATTAAAATACTGCCATTAGTATTCCTTTATTCCTTTTTATCTCAATTGGATATTATCCTACCAAAATCTTATTCCAGTAATTTGCTGATACATCTGCTGATTTATCCGCTATTTCCATAAAGATATTACATCAGTTTACAGTTTACGGCAGCTGTGGATTGTTTCCACTTTTCGGCGATATGAACGCCATAGTCTGGTCCGCGGCAGTACTTGTTATGTAAATTGTTTTCCCAGGTGTTACAATAAGATGAACTTCTTTCCGGATACTGAGTACTCTATCTGGTGCACCACAAACAATACGCTGCGCGGTCGAGATGGCATCGAATTCGTGGTCGCTTGTTGCGATGATTCTGACTACTGCAATCGCGATCTAAGGCCTTCCTTTCCTACTCACGAGTCCAGAGGTCGGTCGAATTCTCGCTTTACGAACCACCTCGGAGGAGGTACAATAAATTGCAGCTAAAGCGGCTGCCGCAAGATTCCTCGCCTCCAAGGTTGCTCCTGCTGCAAAGTTCATTTCTCCGCTGAATGAGATACTCGCAAAAACGAAATGATCATTAAATTCGAAGGATTCAATGGCGGAAATACGGAATATTCATTTGAGTAATAAAAGAAATAAATTCTTTAAGTAAAAATTGAAAGGAAATTTTAAACATTCTATGATTCGAGTAAAAAATTGGTAGTAATTTGTTTATTAAAATAATACGTGTTAAAGATCATTTGTAAAATGGTTACAGAAAGTTAGAATGTGTTTATTAATAAAGTTGTTGTATTAGTTTTTGTGTAATATAATTATAGCTTATTTAAAGATATTTTTTCTGCAGTAAATATATTTAAAAAAACATATTTTTTGTTAGAGATTACTACTATTAGATTAATCGTATTAGCACAATGTAAATACTATTAATATTTGATAAACAATTTAACAGGTTAATAATATGGTCTGACTATATTTATTTGAAAGTCTTTTTAGCTTCAGCTTTTTATCTATTCTATTAATTTGGATTTTATATATTTTAGAAGAGACCTATATTATGTAATGGCAGATTTATTATCAGAACTTCACAATTTTACGATATAAATTTTTATATTTTTTCATGAAAAAATTTAGATATAGTTTTTTAACTTTTTTTTTATATCTATTTAGTGGAATGCAATATAATCTAATGTAATAAAAGATCGAATAATTATATTACTATATTAATTACTATTCACTGTCAAAAGCTTCTTTTTTATTATTAAAATTCATTTACATCTCTAAATATGTTATTACTACAAATAAATGTATATACAATTTTTTATTTAATTATTAAACATCTTGCACATTTTTAAATAAACATTTTTAATAAAATATTTTTGCTTTAAGTAAAATTTTAAGTTAAAAATTTATATTTTGTTTTACAATTTTTTATTAATTAATTAATGATTCATTCTTATTTTAATTTGTGAAGCTTTTATTGTGTGTCTTAAAATTCTATTTTTATAAAATTATTAACACTTACTAGATTTTTAAAATAGTTTCTATCGTTTATTTTGTAATATAATGTTTATCGAGACAAAGCAATTTATGGTCGGATGCATTTCCTGCCTTGTCCGTCCTGAATGGATCAGCCGTCCGTGATATGATGCAAGCGATAGGTTTTGCCTTTGTAATCGTTGAGTTGCAACAAGATAATTTACACGCATAACTAACAACAGCCATCACGTGTAATTGCGTCCGATAACTTAGCAAAATTAAGTAAATGAATTATTGGTAGAATTCTCAGCATTTAAAACATAAACGATAAATTTATTTTTAAAAAACATTAAAATTGTATTGACGTCTTGAGATGTCAAATTATTTTAAATTGACTAATTGACAATCTAAGTCTACGATCAATTAACTGATAACCCATCTGTTGAATTATCTATTTCTTATGATAATTTTGTACTTTGAAGCACATTGTAGCATAATTTATTTAATAAATTATATAATAATTTATGCATTTAAGCTTTCGATTTACGTGCTCAATGACGCAACAAAGTTCGGAAAATGAGAAAAGAACTACAAATTTAAATAAGCCATTGAATCTTGACAAATGCAATCTGCGAAATTTTATGAAGCTTTAATGTCGATAGCACTTAAAAACAATGGCAGATTTATATATTTCGGAGTCAAATCTATGGCTAAATTCTGTTGTTATCCTTCATATACCTTTTTTGTATAATGCATGATTACAAAACAAAGTTCTTAATTACGTTTTATTCTTTTACTGCTTTTATCATTTTTTTTCTGTTTTTATAGTTTCTTAATTTAGTTAAGAAAATATATTTTCTCTGCCGTATATAAATTTGTCATCGTTTCGCGGCGCTTCAGCTTTTCGTTTTGCAAATCAAGAATTAGCGGGAAAAAGACTTTTCCGATGGCAACCTTGGTAAGGCATGCGTGCGACAGTAATGAGAAAAGCGGGGTATCGATTATCGATTTTCTACGCTTTTGTGAATTGTCTGGGCGCGCACTTTTCACATCACTCTCTCCTCTGTATTCCCCCATGTTTCATGTTCTCGCGTCATTTATCTTGCTTGTGCCAAGCTGACAAGACAAGGAACGGACAGAATGGCTGCCATCGACCGACAGTTCTCTCTATCCTGATCGCGTTCCTCGTGGTTTTTTGTTTTTAAACGATTATTTTATCAAATAAAAATCAATATTTTGTTATTACTACAGAATGGTGTTGCTGTTTCGTTACATAATGCGAGATATAAATTACGCAATTCGTAATTATCTTTAGAGAGCGTCTGAAGATTATATAAGTATATATAAAACGTATTATAATGTTTTAAATTTAGTACTTATCTATATTTATTGAGTTTAACTTTTAACATTCTCTAACGTTAAATAAAAATGACTCTAATAACAATTAGTTTAAATTTAAACTTAATTATTTAACTTTAATTATTAATTTAGAAGTTTATTTTTTATTTTAAATTAAACGTTTTATCATTTACTTACACTTGCAGAAGTGTATTGTTTTAAATTACTTTCTACTAGATTTCAAATGTATGTACATATTTCGACAACATTATTGAATTGTGCACTCATATATGAATACTGTCATTTTTTGTTTGTACGTCTCCTGTTCGTAATAAAGAGGGGATGCAGATAACGTACGTTCTGTGTACGTTACATATAGATAAGATAATACTGGTCTGTCTATATGTATATACAATTATACACGTGCCAGTGAATTTTGCAACGCAAACAAAATTTGATAAAAAATTTGAGGACATTCCACACAGTCTATCATTTCACATACAACTGAGAGTACATTAACCCTAAAATACTTTTCCGGTATTGTATTAACTGTTAAAATATATTTTTGTAATTTTTACAAACTTATGTATTTTAAATTAAATAATATATTATATAATTGTATATACATATATATATATATAACCTGTATCATTGAAAGATTTATTTAAATCATAGAAATAACACAACAAATGTAGTTGTTCCTTAGGATAAATAAGTTTAACAAATATATTAAAAATAATTGATTTTAATGAAAATTTCATGAAATAATATTGTACCTGAACGAAATTTTGTAATATTTCTACTGATAACAGTCAGACTATCAAATAATCCCACATAGTTCCGATCATAATTCAATTGGTTGAAATTGTCCCAATTATATATTAAGAATCGATATATAAATCAAATTTTCTATTTCAAAAAAGATTGTGTTTAATTAATTATATTAAAACGTTTGTATGACGTTAATAAATTAAATTAAAAATTTTTGTTACTTCTAAAAATAATTAATTAATTGATGGTCTATCCTTACAAAAAAATCATAAAGTTATTAATAATTGTACATTGTGTACGTAAGATTACAAAACTTTGTAACAAAGAATAACTTGGTGAGATATTATAACAAATAAGTAGTTTCAGCTGAAAGAGACTGCTGAAATTGCAGTTTGATGTGTTATGTGATAATCTAGACCCGTATTTTCTATATCTTATCTCAGTATATTTAAAGGTGGGCGAATTTTTTCAGACGTCTATTTTTATGCTAAATGTTTTTATATAAATGAGAGCAATACAATAAACTGTCATAAATCTTTAGTAATAAAATTGTTGAATAATTAACAATAATAGGATCATTTATTCATTTATTTGTATTATATTTCTAATTTAATTATTTGTGTATTACTAATATAAGCATAGAACTATTTGGAAAATATGTCATTGATATCTATACATGCCAATGGGTTTCGATCGCGAATAGAAGCGGACATTGAGGGCGAAGGTATAATTTGCCAAGAGCAAACAGAATAGCTTCTCCCGGAATATAAAGTAACGAGGCGTGCACAACACGATTTGGACAAAGGGACAGGCTGGAAACGATATTCGATTGTACGTGCTCTAATAAATCCGCGAGGACAGCCAGTTATCGGCGGATATCATCGCAGCAGTGATTTGATCGATATTAGCTCGAGATGCGTACGTTATGTATTCACTTATGGAATTTGATATTTACGTGGCAATTTAATCAGCTCTAATGAGAATTTACTAGCACATAGAAAATATTTTCGCATTGGACCAGTAGTTACAACATTATCAATATTGAAACGTATAGCATCATTAATTCTATACAACTCTGTCACATTTGACATTCTTGGTTCTATTTAATTAAAAAGTATCTGTTTTTCTATAAAAAAATTAATTAAACAGAAATTGATTAAATTTAAATAAAAAAGTGTAGCATTTTCGTTGGATAATAAATGTTTTAGTTTCTTATGTTTCATATATTTTTAAATAAAATAATATTGCGGGGAGGGGGGGGAATGGAATGGTAATAAATCTATTAAATTTGGCAATTTTTTAAATTTACTTATGCACTGATGAGAGAAATAATTAATAATATAGTACAAAAATATAGTAATAGTGTTTTTATTTTGCTGCATTATTTAATACTTTTAAACTTTTTTTTCAATTAAAGTATATTATTATATATAACGTTAATTTATATATATATATATTAAAACGTCTAGTGTTCCTTCCTGTAATACTGAAAATATCAACATTACAATATCATACATTTCTTTCTGTCGATTATAAACAAAAACATTATGTGACGAAACAGAAGCCTATAAACATTAATAATTATTTAAATGACGTACGATATTTTTATAAAAAATATTTTTATTAATATTACCAAGATGCATATTCTCTCATCATTATTAGAAGATTCATCGTTGCTGTGCGATCATTCATCAGTGAATCGTTTCTCGCCGTGTTGCCTGTCATCTCATTGAAATCTTCACAGGAATCAATATCCAATTATATCGTGATTCGTCCTATCTACCTATATATCGCGATAACCCTGTCGATTGAATTTCGCGATTGTTTGATTCCGCGATGAGTGTATAGTTTGTTTTACATATCTACGTCTATCCAATTTTATCTCTCAAAACTCTGGTTTACAAAGCTCTTACATCTGGAGAATAATATCGATACGTCTGTTATAATTTTAATTTAGAAAAAGTTAAATCACAAATTTTTGAAAAATTATTAATTAGTTGGATTTAGTTATCTATTTTGTAATTCAGATTTATAGAGATGACTTTCTCAATAAAAATTTATTTAAAAACTATCGCAATTTTTTGATACATTATGTCAAACATTTTCATATTAAAAAATTAACTTTAAAGATATATAATATATGAATAAGTAAAGTATAAATATAAATATTAAAGTAATCTATCTATTCTACATTTTTGTATAAGTCTATCAATATATTTTATCGTAAATTAGTTCTTTTTCGGATTGTTGCAATAATTTATTTTGCTGTAAACATAAAATTGTGAATTATTGAACTAACATGATTTAAAATAAATAAATAATTTTTGAATGAATAGCTTTTGCTCAGCATTTTATAACAATTTAATTGGCTGTTTCAGACATCGCTTAATACCATTTTCACTTAATATTTGTGTGATGAATTTCGTTAAATAATTGATTAATAGCATTTGTGTGACTTGAAAGAATATACTGTAATGCTCTTCAATTCCATTACTCTCAGGTAAGTCAAATTTTGTATTTAACGTGCTACTGATGTTTCGATAAGATATATTAGAAATATCTATCTTTGTTCTACGTTGCATATCACGATAGACTAAAGGATTACCTCAGATTTAATACTAGAACATTCTATGATTATGGAATCAATGGAAAAAAACATTATTTAGATATATAAATGAGGATAAAAACTACGACAAATGATGATTGTTTTAGTCACAGTTTGTGTTATTAATATCTGTCAAAAGATTATAAAAATAAAAAACCTAAGATTGTCTTGCAAATCTTACTTGATTTATACGACACTTGATTTAAATGTCCCAGTATTAAAACTTAAAATTTAAAATTAACAATTAAGATATATAAGATAACTGAAGGTAATAAAGACTAGCGATTAAAATAACAGCAAATTATCGAGGCGCAGTTGTACGTTGATGCATCATTCAATTTCAAAGAGGTTCTTAGAACATCTTTCAATCCCTTGAGTTTTCAGAGGTTCAGCCATGGACCAAGCTATTGATCACTAAAATGATCAGACCGAAATCCTGTCCACGTTGCACTAAATCTGTCTTAAATGTGTTTGTTTAACTGTTGTCAGCATAGAGATCGCTTTGCTTTTACTGTTTTATTAACATTTTGTAATATACGTCTTCGCATTTTGGTATACGTAAATCTTCCGCACAAGTTATATATCTTGTCGCTTTACGCTTTTTTTAACGCCTACATTTCATAGTTTTTTCCTTTGAAAATCTCTGCTCGCATTTGCTTGCTTTCGAATCAATAATGCATAATAGTGATTTTAATAAATTCATATATTTTCACGAAGTCTTTTTGCTTCTAAGATCAGAGATATATTCAACGTTTCTTTTAAATAAATATGAACTTACACAGCACATTCGTTCGACGTCGCCTGGATAACACGATATCTATATCTATACTAATGACGTCTAACGTCGTTTAAACATCACGAATGCCCATGCGACATCATGTGCTGTGTGCAGGGAGTGTAAATTTTAAAAATAATTTGTTGGAAATTATGAAACAATTTACTTAATTATCTGAACAAATAATGTTACTAAATATCAACAAAAATAAATAAAAAAGTACAACTGCTTTAAATTTTTTTCTCTTATTACTAAAACTACGTTTAAGGAAATGTTTTTGCATTCATGTAATTTGTAAATTTTGAGATAATACACAGCTTACTCGTCTAAGAATGCACGTTACAAGTTGAATATCTCTGATATTGGTATATCATACCTTCAGTATGATAACGTGTACAATATAAATACAGCGTCATCGAGGTTGAATTAGCGTTTATCCATCGGTGCTTCCTATTTGCAAAAAATAACTGAATATATCTTGCCGAAAGTATCGTCGAATGGTGATGACTCAACATGGGTTACCTGGAAAATGGCCTTGACGATAGCAGTACCAATATGTGCGATCTGCGTGGTCGTAATGGCAATCTATCACATACACATGACCAAAAAGAGGCCGGCTAGGCACTTTCCGGATGACTCGCTGGAGGCTCCGGACCGACCAATTCTGGGTGGCGTCACTATCAGGGACATGTTGGAGATGACTACGAGTGGTAGCGGCTCAGGTAAATCAAATTAAATTAAAGTTCATCATTTAAAATCAGTATAAAATGATAAGATAAGAGGCAAATATCTCTTGAATTTTTACGGAAAGAAAAATCTTTTGATAAAAATATGTTAGTCGTTCTTTATTATAGTTATATTATGGATACATATTTATTAGAAAATGTTTAAGATGTTGATAATTATAATTGTAAATTTACCTTATATATATAATATTAAAAATTATACGGATTTCATACAGAGATTTGTTATTTTACAGCTTTTTATTACAACATTAGTAAATGTGTAAATTGTTTTTGTAAAATATTATTAATTTATTTCATGTAATCTTAAAAAATAATATATGAATACAAATAATATATAAGTACATTCCTGTTGCATATATAGGGTGAATCAGAGTCGATAAACCAGCTTTTTACTCTATGAGAAAATAATTGACTGCACACGTTATAATTCAATTAGGTATGAAGTCGATAATTTTCTCATATGGTAAAAAGTTGGTTCGATGACTCTGATTCATCCTGTATTTACTAATAGATTCTTTTACAAAGTTATGTATTTGTACATTATACGTTAATCTATTCGTCTTTTGCTCAGGCATGATACACAAACACGCGACGCGTGAGTCATGTTTAATCATACTGAAATTTACGTTCTTCAATGCCCATCCTCTCTCAAGTAGGCCTGCCACTTCTGGTACAACGGAGCATAGCGCGCCAGATTCAGCTGGTAGAAACGATCGGAAAAGGCCGCTTCGGCGAGGTCTGGCGCGGTCGTTGGCGCGGCGAAAATGTTGCTGTGAAGATCTTCAGCTCGCGAGAGGAGAGATCTTGGTTCCGAGAAGCCGAAATTTATCAGACGGTGATGCTGAGGCATGACAATATCCTAGGTTTTATCGCTGCCGATAACAAAGGTGTGAATTCTTTTTTATATCCGTACATAATCTAAAATTCTAGCGAAATCGAAAATTGTACTTAAGAAATAGTTTAGTGCTTTCTCAACTTTCCGCGATCTTCAGGATATTTATTACGCTTGTTTATTAATTTAAAAGAGAATTTTAATACGAATCATTGTTACTTTCTGTTTCAAAATAAAAAATATATAATTATAAAGTAAATTAACATGCTAATTTGTTATTAATAAGAAATATGTTTATATTTTAAAAAATTAAATTAAATTTAGCTGGTCTAATTTATCAAACAAATTTATTTCTGGAGATATTTCGAGCGCACAGACGATCTCTTCAGATTATATGAAACATTCAAAGACTCTCTTTATCGATTTTCATTACATATTTTATCATCTTGCACGTTGCTTGAGAGCTATTGCGATCGAATTATGTCTTCTAAATAAATTGTGAATTGATGGAATGACGGATCATTTTGTTCCTTTTCAGATAACGGCACGTGGACACAGCTATGGCTGATAACGGATTATCACGAGAAGGGTTCGCTCTTCGATTACCTCAACAGATCGACCGTCGACACGAACGGTATGATAAGGATGGCCTTGTCGATTGCCACTGGCTTGGCACATCTTCACATGGAAATAGTCGGCACGCAAGGCAAGCCGGCCATCGCTCATCGGGACCTGAAGTCAAAAAATATCCTTGTGAAGACTAATGGTACCTGCGCCATAGGCGACCTCGGATTGGCCGCCAGGCACGACGTAATCACGGATACCGTCGACATTCAGCTCAACAACAGAGTCGGCACGAAGAGATACATGGCGCCTGAGGTAATTATATATGCTATGTGAAAGAAGATTCCTCTGATTCGAAAGATAAAAAGCAAAAGTATCTATAGAAGTATCTTGTATATAAGGTTTTAGGGGTCATCAATTATGAATTAGAAATCAAATTGTCAAATATAATTTATTTGAAAATTTTTTGTGCTATTTTTGTTTAAAAATGTTAAAAATGTCACTTTTGGTACTTTTAAGTCGACTTTTCACAAAAATGTTATGTGATAGAACAATTAGCGGATTCTTTTTTAATGATAAAAGATCTATAAGAATTAAGTACTTTGTTTATTTTGTGATCTCAAAAAAAGTTTAAATTTGTAGGACTGTCACTGTTATTAAACAATAAAAATACCGAAAATAATACGCAATGGTTTGCACTCTTATCAGTCAGGAAGGCGGCTCTTCGGTAATTCATGCTAACGTTTTCTGCTTTCAGGTTCTTGAAGAGACGATAAACATGAACCACTTCGACTCGTTCAAGAGGGCCGACGTGTACGCACTCGGTCTGATCCTCTGGGAGATTGCTAGACGTTGTAATGTCGGTGGAATTCACGACGAGTATCAGTTGCCCTTTTACGACTTGGTGCCTTCCGATCCAACTATCGAGGAAATGCGGAAAGTCGTGTGCATTGATCGACAGCGGCCATCGATACCGAATCGATGGCAGTCGATCGAAGTGAGTATTAAACCAAAAAAAGTATATAGTTTAAATTACCAATTTTACTTAGAATAATTGTTTGAAAAAATAAATTAAAAGTAAAATATATATATACATATAGCTTTAATTAATAAATTATTTTGTTCTAATGTTTATGTTGTATATTAAATCCGTATAACGCAAATCAAACTAACCAAACGAAACAAACTCCTTATAAATCAAAGAATTGGAAAGAATAAGGGCGCTAGAAGTAAAGCGCAGAAGACATTGCATAAATAATACACCCCTATGCGTGAAAATTCTTTATTCACTAAACGCGCTTACATGTTTCGACTCAATTTTGAGCCTTCTTCAGAGCAAACACAAACTAACATATATAAACTAAAAGTTATCCTGTCATGGTGGGCTCCTCTCCTACATTGAAAATTTAAATGTCAGCATTTAAAAAAATAAAAAAAAAAGAAAGAAAAGGAAAATGAAAGAGAAGGAAAATATTGAAAATGTGGAATTAGAGATAACTTATTCTCGATGTAAGGGAGCTCACCATGACAGGATAACTTTTTTATAGTTTTTTAAGTTTATATATGTTAGTTTGTGTTTGCTCTGAAGAAGACTCAAAATTGACTCGAAACATGTAAGCGCGTTTAATGAATAAAGAATTTTCACGCTTCGTAGGTGTATTATTTACACCACGTCTTCTGTGCCTGACTCTTAGCGCCCTTATTCTTTCCAATTCTTTGTATATTAACATTCACATAACTTGAAAACGTAGTGTAATGAAATATAATAATTAAATAATTATAAAATGCAATTAAATCATAGCAATGATTGAAAGATAAAACGAATTAAAACAAAAGTATTTACCGTTTGAAAATTTAAATTATTTCAGCTAAAGTTTTATTCTATTAAAATTATAATAAGAAAGTTTGTACAGAAAGAATGATTTTTTTAAATATCTCAAAATTTAGATAAATGCAGATCTAAAAATAATTTTGTTAGATCAAAATAATTATATGTAGGAAACTCAAGTATAATGAGCAACGCTGCAAAAAGTTTCGACGATCTAGCAATCAGTTTGAGTGTCTTATACAATTATTCTGATGGTTCAACATATTTATATTTAGATTTGTATTTAGCTAAATTTTTAGATATTAAAAAAAAACTGTTCTTTCCATAAAGATAAAATTAATTTGTAAAAAAATATTAGGTTATAAAATATTAGATAAGTTAAATTAATTATAATTAACAATTTATTATTTACATAGGCTCTGCAAGTAATGTCGAAAGTAATGAAGGAATGTTGGTATCACAATGCCGCCGCCAGGCTAACCGCACTCAGGATCAAGAAATCGCTCGCTAATTATGGCGCTATAGACGACCTGAAATAGATTAAGCTGTTGCCGAGCTCTTCAACAGAAAAGCGACAAAAGTCGATTGAATCATATATGCGAATGTTGCTATTTTGAAATTTGACGCGATAGAGCTTCCGGCAGGATGAAGAAATATTTCGCGTAGTCGAGAAGAATCTGGAATAGACTAAATGGAATTACGAGATTCTTTCTTATGTGAGATTGGCCTCGATCGAGTAAAATACTATATGAATAGAATTGATATTGCTTTGCGGAATTGTAAGAGATAAAAAATAGAATGGATTTTTACGCGTGTTGATTGTTTCGATGGGTAGCGTGCGAGCTATAAGAAAAAACATTATTTCAGTCCTAATATATCGCGACTTGATGATCGGTCACTCTGTTGAATGGATCAACAAGCAATCACAATACGCGTTCGGTTAATCGAACGATCGCTCAATTACACGCCACCTATATTGACACACGCGGACACTAACACATAAAAAAAGAATACAAACCGCTGCATATTTATTACCATAATACTATATAATAAAATATACAAATTTATTATATAGCAACATTTATTGATTAATACTAATGAGGAACAGTACTCGCATATACACACGTATATAATTATATATTACATATATATATATATATATATATATATATTCCTGTTATCTTGGAATAATCGAGTCGATTAACCGAACCATCTATTGTTTAGATGATCTTATAAACAAGTTACCTCAGTGAAACGATCGCTATGTTCGTGCAAAGTATATCGATTAGCCGGAAGTAATCAGGATGTCGCGCAAGATTTAAACGTATCAATTCAGCTCCGACTGGATGTGTTGGCAAATTATAAGCGAAGAAAGCCACACTGGATAACATTTTTTTAATTTTAGTTCCAAAGTGTTATCGTAAAAATTTCTTATTTTAGTGCAAAAGTTACGATTACATGTGTGGTATAGGGAGCCTATATATGCCATACATCATGTTATACAAAGAAAATACGTGTCTTTTGATTTGTATTCTTCTGAAAAAAGTGCCGAGTTGATAAAAATGATTATACAGGGTAGATAGGAAAACCGGACAACCGAGTGACTAATGTTGACGTATCTAATAGTGATAATTTGAATAAGGCGGATATTCTAGTCGAGAAATCCTCTAGTGAATGTTATTGCATTCACTGACAAAATTCACAGTCGGAATGTATTGTTAACAAGAATGCTCACCTTTCATCCAGTGCGTGAGATATCGTGAAATTTTGGCACATCGTCCGGTTTTATTTGTCGACCCTATACGTATACTCTTAGTATAGTAGATACATACGAATGTTTTGCTCAAGATGAATATTTTTGCGAGATCATGCGGAAAATAAGCGTAAGGGTACGCGAGGTTTTTGAAATGTGTTTTCTTTGTAAAATGCAGGAAAGCTGACATTGAAATTGAGGCTGATATTAAGCTCAAAAGCGCGCGTATATCGAAGAGAAACGCAAGAGGGTATGAGAAACGTGTGAGAATGCAGAAACGTGTGAATTGAACTAGAATTGGTACAAGAAGGAGAGAAAAAATGAAAAACAGATTTGATAAAAAAAAAAGAGAATCATTGGAGAATTCATATTTTCGGGTATTTTTTCGCGGAATAAAGTAAAATACGAAATGCAGCTAAGATGGGATCGATTGTGTATATCAGGAGAACGGATGTAGTTAGGCAAGAAGAAATCAATTGATACTAACAAATATAGTTATAAACTTTTGAGACAATTTCTTGAACGTGTTTGTTACTTCATTTTTAATAACGCGATTTTTTTAACAATGGAGAATGCCGCAGACAAATTTTCTGCATATGATTGAACCAAAAGAAATATTAAAAAAGTTTAATATTAAAATGTAGTTCTTAAACAGTAAGTGTAAGATAATATATAAGATTATGTATATAAGAGAATAATAACATATATTTAAGAGAAATTAAATAAAGAAACAATATTTTCAAGTTGGTTTCTTCTGGCTCTACTATGTCCAAGTGCTCTTTGGATAATTTCTATCGTGTTATGTTAAACAGACGTTGAAGAAATTCATCCATTTATCAAATGCTGTTTTATAAACTTTTTTCAATTAAAAACTCCGAACATAAAGTCTTCAGATGAATTTACATCTACGCGCTGTATTTCGATGGATTAAAAAGCAATCGTAGTGCTTGAGGTAAATATATAACTTTGATATACCTTGAGATAAGAATGCGACGAGTATGCGTATGGGACGTCTCTCCTTGAAACTAATTATGAGTTTCGTTGAAGAACGGGAGAAACCGTTCTATTTATCCGCAAACGGATTCTTCTTTTCTTCAATGAATAATGAATTATATCGATAGTGTATAGTATATACTTCTTTGACAAAATGAGAAAGAAATATGACGATTAATTTGGAGTGAAAGATAGTAAGCGAGCAAAGCATGCGATAGAATACAAGAGAACAGGAAAATAAGAATCTTCGTCATCCAATAGTCAACGTAAAAGTCTGCGAGGTTACAATTATTATTATTATACTATAGACGAAATAACGGAGAATCCTTTGTATCCTGAATACATAATCATATTTTTATATTATTTTATACCGATGACGTCGATCGAACGTCTTTCTAATTTTCCTCTTCCGTTTTTACATGATCGCAACGTTCCGACCCAGTTATATAATTTTATAACGCTATACTTATTAATTCTTTATATATGTATGTAAGTCAGTGTTGATAGTTTTTAATTTGTGACATAATTCAATTTAAACGATATATTTTATTAGAGATAATTTCATAGGAGAATTTTTTCTTTAATAGAAGCAAATTATGAATAACTGCAACAAAAAACTTTTTATATTTTCTCAGAATTAAAATTTATCAATACCAACAATTTAAGTAAAATATTTATTAGCATTTTTATTCAAATAATATTAAATTAAATTTTTATTTAATATTAAAAATTAATATTTATAGTTCTTTTTAACATCCTTAACGTCAAAATGACGACAAAAATAACATCAGATTGCTATCAAGATAGATTTGTAACGTAAATACGTAAATATTTTATTTAATTAATTAAAAAATGCTATTAAACATTTTATTCTAAAATAACAACAAATCATCAATTTACTACCTCGGTTGAATAAAATTTTTCGGTGTTGAAACATTATGGGAATTTTAAACATAATTGTTTAATAAGTGTCGCAAATTGAGATTAACCAGCACTGTAATAATGTAATAGGCATATGCGTTGCAGACAAACAGAATATGTTTCTAAAAATTAATTTTGTACATTAGCAAGCACAGATAAATGTCTTTTATTAAAAAAGTCGAATAAGATAAGACGAAACGATAAATCGTAAATACGATTTATTTATTCTGGAGTGACGTTACACACGTATTGCAATTTGCCGAAAGACTGAGAATCTACGATTGATTAGTAAATAATACATAATTAAGATTGAAGACATTTACCCTTACCTTCAAGTTAATCGAAATTTTAATATTAACTTTCAAAATAGTTTTATTTAATTTTTTATATAATTTACTATTATTTAATCTCTAAATTGCTTTTGATTGACAAAATTATAAGATAAATTCTGTAACGTTTTGAATTTAATTTTTTACATACTTTTCTTGAAACAGATTTTTGATAAGTATTGCATCAAAAATTTTTAATTGTTTTCTTTATTGCTATTGTAACCTTATTCTATTCTTCTAAGAGAGCCATATTTAACATTTATTTATATTTTATTATCAGAATTAATTAAAAAATTTACATTTTGGCTAATTTAATAGTTATTTATTTCCTATTTTTTGTTATTAGAAAATAGAAAAAAGACTGAGCTAGAGCTATTTAGGTATTTCTACATTTTCTAAATTTTTTTCTTGCGATACGGTTTTAAGTAAATATTTTTATTCTTGAGAAAATTTTTAACTTCGTGATTACAATTAGTAATCAAGATTTTGGAATATTTTTGCTATAAAATAAATTGATAGCAATAGTTGCATACATCATGCGAGTTCTAACAAATTATCATTATGAAAAAACGACAGCTTTACGTTTCTTTATTTGTTTTCACTTTTCATACATTCCTGTTACAATATAAGTTAATTTATCATACATAAATAATATAGTATCTATATATCTATATATCGGTAAAGCTTTGCGGTTTTGCAACCTATCAGCGTAATACCGCAAGCTCGATTGATGTCTCCCCCATAACTATTTCCATACTGCTAGTACAATTCTCTGTGCCAATATCTGACTGAGTATTAACTAAAACGACAGAGACAAACAATATACATTATATTCCCATGAGTTATATTCGCTCCCGAACGAGGAAAAATATCTTTGGTATAAATTCTTGTGCATTACTATACCAGTTGCAAGCAAAATAAGTACTTGGTGGACATTCAGAAATTTTAAGGACATATTGTGGAAGAATTTTAGTTAAATCAATTTTTTTCACATGTTTTTAGTAAAAAAAAATACATTTAATATAAGAATTGATAAATTAATTTAAATTACATATATTAACTTGATGGATTAAAAATTTGAATTTATTGAAACGAAAAGATATTTTTCTTCCTCTGCACATAGCCATTGCCAACTATATTTCCAGGCGACGATAAATGGACGTCACTCCTGAATTCGTCTTAATGTCAATTGAATTATCGAGATTGTAACTGGGTCGCCGAACCGTCGAACAGTCTGACTTACATCTGACAAATGCCGAACTGCCAAATAATATTTCACCTTCTGCACTCTTTTTCCGCTCCGTACTGTTTGAACCATCCCATACACTTGTACAAAAGAGTAACAATAAATTAGAAGAGAACGTTGCACAGGCGGCATTTAATGCCAGCGTTGATTCCACTAGAAGGAAGAAACTTGTACCTTTAAAGGCGATTTACCGTCTATTTTGTTTTACGCTTTAGGCGATACCAGTGTTTATAACAATTACCGGTGGAAAGAAGAAATCTTGTTATCGAAGAAAATCGCATTGTTCTGATATCTCATATTGGGTATATATAAGGATTTATTAAACAAAACTATAAATATATTTTAAAAATATTCCATTTTAAAGTTATCAGAAAGTCAGAAAATTTTGAAATTGTTATGAATTATGTTAACTGTGGTATTTATACTTTATCTGCTGTGTGATGCAACTGCATAAAGTTTATCTTTACAAATGTTTCATTTCTATAATATGAAACGCACACAACAATTGTATATTAATGTAAGTTATTTGTCATATTTTGTTAATATTTAATGTATAAATAATTAATTTAAAATACCACAAACATTGCAAAAAATTCCTTTTTCTTTTTTATATTCATAGAAAAAGGATATGTTTTTTATAAAGCATAATACAATTAAAAAATTAAACGATATTAGGATAGAAAGAGTATCGAAAACTGTTTTGAATTTTATAATTAATAAGTGGTTTTTGTAATAATTTAATCAGAACAGTGCGATTTTTTAATCAATATGATACTACGCATAATATTATATAAATATTATATAAATAAGTTAATTAGCGATTGCTAAAGGTTTATAGACCAAAAATATTTTCCATTTGTTTGGATGGTTTGGAGAAGATATCGCAAATTTTCAACATTTTTGCAACCTCCGAACAAAAAGCTCTTATTCTATTTATTTTTCTCTATATAATTAAACAAGCCTCTAATAATAATTGCGATATTTTGTTTGTAATTAATTATTGTTCTATCTTTTTTTGTGTTGTTTGTTCTTTTGCAGAGTTATATTACATTTTAAAAGATCAGCTCTTATAATTGCGTTGAATGTACAAAATTATACCAAATTTCGGATATTTATTTAATCAGTTTAAGCATCATTAATAAATTTCTAAATTTGTAATTGTAATAATTTGACAAATTCGTCTATGTTTTTCGTTGTTTTATTGTTGTCTAAAGTATTGTTGTCTAAATAATTTATTATTTTTTTATTTTGGTGCAAATGAAACGCGTAATAAAGAAGAGAATATAAAAGCTTCCAAATTAAATTGCTTGTAGACGCAATTCTTTGTTTCTTTTATAAATATGTTAAAAGAAATATCTATTAGTAATACTATTAGCGAGGATAAGTTCATCGTTTCATCATTGCTATATCACAATTTCTATTCTCTGTGTTTCCCATTTTATTGTATAATACTCTGTACATAATGGTGTAAATGTTCATCGAAAACTTATATATGGATAGAATGCGCACTTGTAATTTTTGTAACAGCAGGGTGATTGAGTTGATGAATGATACCGTTTAAATTTTGATTATTTGTAACATTTGTAATGGGCATGTCGCGTCTCCTCTATTTTTCCATCTACTCTCAAATATATCGCGATAAATATAGTGTCACAGAAGGTTGTTGCTGTTAAAGGTTTATCTCGAAATAAAAGAAATTTGCGAAATGTGTTAACGGCTTGTAATGTAATAGGAATAAAGAAATGATAAATCAGAGAGTTTTTTTCAACTTATACAAAACGAGGTATATCGTGGGATAAAATCTATATCGAATGAAGTTGTTTGTGAAATATCAAACATCGTGAAATAATGTGCTATAAATACTAAAAGTAAATACATAAATCGCAAATTATAATTGTAACAAAAGAAGAGAATGGAGAGCAACAACTCTTTCTATTGGCATATTTTACTAGAGAGCTACTTGATTTGGTATACATATTCTAAAGACTGAGATATTTATTTTTCTTGAACTAAAACGATCTATAAACACAAGGTAACAGGATCATAATATTAATATTGTAACTTCACAGTCAATAATGTAACAGTTACGTAAACGTGTGTTATATTACATTTATA